TAGTCCAATGGCTGAGTGCTCATATTTTCCAATCCACTGATAATGCATAAGAGGATATCAATGACTCTTTATAGGCGCTATGGATTCCACTATCTATGAATAACGAATCTACGCATACACGAGTCATACCCCCAATGTACCGGCAAGCGTACCTTTACATAATGTTAGGGTGTCTCCCTTTAGTACATCAAAGGATACAAGTCAAGTATACAGGTTCATCATCCATCTCAGGATTAAGATGACAACATATAATTCGTCAAAAGTGAATTGTTTTATTCAAACAGAATTATTAATTAAAACAATTCAACTTTGGTCCGATCCAATATAGATTTCACCATTAGAAACTATATCAATGTCTCCACCTATGGAGTCCCACCTCCGACGACCAAGACAAGCCGTCTCCGTTAGGAAGTAGACAACATAACAATCTTAACATGAATAAAGCACCTAACTTTATTCCCTCGATTGTGGATCATAAGATTTAGACTATCATCTTTAGATTCTTGTCTTCCGCATGTTCTTCACATTACATGCATGACCTAAAGATTTAGAATGACAGTCTCAGACTTTCAGTTTGCTTATCATACATTCACCTATTATGAACATAAAGAGGACAATACATAGATATATAAAATAAACAAATCTTTATTAATAGTCAAAATATCTCAAAGAATATTGTTACATTTATTCCTAAGGGCATAAACGCTAACACAAACATCAAACAGTTCCACTTCTAAGATGTTGTCCAGGGGCATCTCATGTCTTCTTGATATGTTCCCAGTTCTCTGGCACCTATCACACCTCAATGCAAATGCATGAGCATCTTTAAAAATTGACGGCCAGTAGAACCCAGATTGTAGAATCTTTGAGGCCGTCCTCATGCCTTTATAATGGCCACCATAAGGGGAAGAATGGCACCCTTGCAGAATGTTTTCCACTTCTTCCTCTGGTACACACCTTCTTATAAGCTGGTCAGCACATTGCTTGTACAAATAAGGCTTATCCTAGCAATAACAATTAACATCATGAAGAAATTTCTTCCTTTGCTGGCTAGTTAAATCCGGTGGGAGCCATCCACTTGCTAAATAGTTTGCAAAATTAGCATGCCAAGGTGGTTGTGCCTGAGTTGCTGCAAATAACTGCTCATCAGGGAACATTTTGGTTATAATCTCAGGATTGGATCCTTCCTTAGCCCTCTCTAGCCTGGACAGGTGATTAGCCACTTGGTTCTCGGTCCCTTTTCGGTCCTTGATCTCCAAATTGAATTCTTGAAGTATGAGTACCCATCTGATTAACCATGGCTTTGCATCCTTCTTCTCCATCAAATATTTGATGGCTGAGTAGTCTGTGAAAACAGTAACCTTTGTCCCGATCAAGTAGGCTCAAAATTTGTCAAAGACAAAGACAACCGCCAACAGCTCCTTTTCTGTCACAGTGTAGTTTAGTTGAGCTCCTGATAGAGTTTTACTGGCGTAATAAATCGAGTGAAACACCCTCTCTCTGCGTTGACCGAGAACTGCCCCCACTGTCCAGTCACTGGCATCACACATTACTTCAAAAGGAAGAGACCAATCAGGTGCTGTAATGATAGGTACGGAAATGAGCTTCTTCTTTAATTCTGCAAATGCTATTAAGCATGCCTCGTCAAAAATGAATTTGCTATCCTTTTCCAAAAGACTACAAAGAGGCTTGGACACCTTTGAGAAGTCCTTAATGAGCCTCCTATAGAACCCCGCATGACCAAGGAAGCTTCGGAGCCCTTTCATATTGGTCGGTGCTGGCAACTTTTCTATCACAGCTATCTTTGCCTTATCAACCTCTAGACCATTCCTTGAGACTCTGTGTCCTAGCACTATTCCCTCCTTGACCATAAAGTGGCACTTATCCCATATCAAAACTAAGTTAGTCTCTTCACATCTCTTTAGGACCTTGGCCAAGTTCATGAGGCACTCATCAAAATTTTTCCCAAAAACTGAGAAATCATCCATAAACACCTCTAAGTACTGTTCCACCATATCAGTGAAAATAGCCAACATGCATCTCTAAAAAGTTGCTGGAGCGTTACAAAGTCTGAAAGGCATTCTCCTGAAAGCAAATGTGCCAAATGGACAAGTAAATGTGAAGGCAAATGTGCCAAATGGACAAGTAAATGTAGTCTTGTGTTGATCCTCTAGTGCAATCGTAATCTGATTATAACTAGAATACCCATCCAATAAGCAATAAAATTCTTTACCTGCCAGCCTGTCCAACATTTGATCAATAAATGGGAGAGGAAAATGATCCTTTCTAGTGGCCTTGTTAAGCTTCCTGTAGTCAATGCATATCCGCCAACCTGTTACTGTTCTTGTGGGGATTAACTCATTCTTCTCATTTTTAACAACAGTGATCCCCCCTTTCTTAGGAACACATTGAACCGAACTCACCCATGCACTATCCGAGATTGGATAGATGATCCATGCATCTAACTACTTTATTATCTCCTTCTTGACCACCTCTTTCATGATCAAGTTCATCCTTCATTGTCCCTCAATATACCCCTTTTTATCATCTTCCAAAAGAATCATGTGCATACAAAATGAGGGACTTATACCTTTTATGTCTGCTATAGTCCAACTAATGGCTCCTTGGGATTCTCTTAAAACCTTGAGCAACTTCTCCTCTTGGTCCTGTGTTAATAAAGCAGAAATAATAACTGGAAGGGTGGAAGATGCTCTTAAGTAAGCATACCTCAAATGCGGTGGCAAGGGCTTAAGTTCTAGGACTGGTGGTTCTTTGCTTGATGGCTGAGTGGGCTTGTGTTCTCGTTCAGCCAAGTCCAAAGACTCAAACTTCCTTATGTAGCTCGGCGTTCTTGCATTTGCTCCTTCCCACTCTACTTACTCAACAAATTCTTCCACATTACCCTCAAAGTTGTCATGCGCAAGCATTTCTGCCACCAAAGAGTCAATAGCTGAAATGGCTGAGCATTCCTCAGTTTCACTTGGGAACTTCATTGCCTTGAATACATTGAATGTGACATATTCTTCCTGCACCCTCATGGTCAATTCTCCCTTTTGTACATCAATCAAGGTGCGGCCAGTTGCAAGAAATGGCCTCCCCAAAATTATGGGCACTTATCTATCCACTTCATAATCAAGAATGATGAAGCCAGCAGGAAAAATGAACTTGTCCACCCTTACAAGTACATCCTCAATCTTTCCTTCAGGGGTTGCAATCGATCTATCTGCCAGCTGCAAAGACACTGTGGTCGGCCTTGCTTCTCCAATACCCAACTTCTTGAATATGGACATTGGCATCAAATTTATACTAGCTGCCAAATCACATAATGCTTTACCAAAGTATTGGTTTCCAATAGAGCATGGGATAGTGAAACTTCCTGGATCCTTTAACTTGGGTGAGAGTTTGTTTTGCACAATAGCATTGCATTCGTCAGTCAAAGCCATTGTTTCAAACTCCCCAAGCCTGGGTTTTTTGGTCACTAGATCCTTCATGAACTTAACATAGCTCGGCATCTGTTCCAAGGCTTCCACTAGCAATATGTTGATGTGTAGCTGTTTCAAAACATCTAAAAACTTACGAAACTGCCCATCTTGTTGTTGTCTCTGGAAGCGCTGTGGGAATGGCAGAAGTGGTCAGCTACTACTACTATTACTGGTTTTTACTACTCCAGAATGCTGCGGAAGTGCTGCAGCATTCTGGACGTCAGAATTTGGTTGTTGCTTCCTTCATTGTTCCTCTTGTGGCTGAGTTTTATGCTCTTCCTCTTGGATTGAAGTGGGCTCTGTTTGTACAGCCTGAGGTTTTGCCCTTGATTCTAGCTCCTTTCCACTCCTTAGTGTAATAGCCTTACAGTGTTCTTTCCCTTCTCTTCGTGGATCTTCAGTGTGCTTGGGAGAGAACCTTGAGGCCGGTTGTTCAAAGATTTAGCAATCTGCCCCATTTTATTTTCTAAATTTCTCAGTGATGCATCATGGCTGTGGATTTTGGCTTCACTTCTTGAAATAAATTCTTTTAACAAGCTCTCAAAGAGCTAGATTGTTCCATGACTTGAGTTCTTTATTATTACGGTGGATACCCTAGTGGATAGGTGCTTCTATGGTAAGCATTGGGTCCACTAGAACTTGCTCCCTGATTACTCCATGATAAGTTTGGATGTTGCCTTAACCCTTGGTTGTGAGGATTCAAATAATGATGGCTGCCTCTGTTGAAATTAGCAACACAGCATGCAGAGGCTGGGTTGGATGGGCAATCTTCATACAAGTGGCCCTCTCTACAGTAAACACAAGAGAATCCGGCAGTTTGCACCTCATTTACCCCTGCCGGCATGTTCAATGCTTTTACCATATTCGTCAAAGATGACATTTGAGCTGAGAGTGCAGTGATGGCATCAACTTCATGAATTCCAGTAGCCTTCCTTGCATTAAGTCTTTCGGTTAGCCATTGATAATTGTTGTTGGCCATCCTCTCCAGAATCTCATATGCTTCATTGTAAGATTTGGCCAAAATGGCTCCACCAGCTGTGGCATCAACTATGGTCCTTGTTTGCCCATTGAGACCATTATAAAATGTCTCCATTTCAATCTAATGAGGGATCCCATGATGAGGGCACTTCTGCAATAGCTCCTTGAATCTTTCCCATGCTTCATACAATGACTCTCCGTCTGCTTGTTGGAAGGAGGTAATGCCATTCCTTAGCTTGGCATTCTTGGTTGGAGGGAAGTATTTCATGAGAAACTTCTCTGCCAAACCATCTCATGTCGCCACCGAATCTGGAGGCAAAGAATTCAGCCATACCCGAATCTGTCCCTCAAAGAATAAAGGAATAGCTTTAACCTTAATACATCTTCTGTCACCCCTAGTAGCTTGAAAGTATCACTCGCCTCCATAAATTGTCTGAGATGGAGATGTGGATCTTCAGTTGCCACACCACTAAATTGGCCCACAGTTTGGAGCATTTGGAATATCACTGGCTTAAGCTCAAAATGAGGCGCCTGAATCACTGGCCTTACTATGCCGGGGTTAAGTCCATGTAAAATAGGCACAACATAGTCTCGAATGGCCCTGTTTCTGTCATCAAGCAGCACCGGTTGGGGAGCAGGGATGTTGGCATTTGCTTGCTGCCTATTGTTTCCTGCTGCCCCTTCTGCCATGTCTCCCACTCCTGCTAAGCCTTGTTGTTCCCTTCTCCTAGCTCGGAATGTTCTTTCGATTTCAGGATCTAAAGGCAGCAACTCTAAGTCTTGCGTGGATTCATGCAAGCAACTTAATAACCTGAGAAATTAAGAACCAAATGAATGATATTAAAAAGTAACAAACGTAAAATAAATTGATTCCTACAAATATTTTTAATGATTTCAATCCCCAGCAACGGTGCCAAAAACTTGTTGAGTGGTTTTTATGCTCGCAAGTGCACGTGTCACAGACAAGTAATAAAGAGTGAATAAGAGTGTCGATCCCACGATGATTGAATCACCAAAAATACGTGTTGGAAGTTTTATAATCAACAAAATAAGTAATGAATGAATGTGGCACAAATTCACTAAAATGATGTAAATAAAATGAATGCAAACTAAATGTGATCTAAGTGGCTAACAGTAACAAGAACATAATGATGGGCTGTAATTCAGTGGTGAAAATGAGCTAGGTCTACTAACTTCCCCTCAATTGCAAGTCTGACTAAAATGTTACCGAAAATGCTGCAACATTTACTATCCCTGTTAACAGAAACTCCTCTATTGCATAAAGTTTTACCGAATTAATTATGACTAAGGTTCCTCAAACCATTTCCAGCATATTCCTATGTGAATCTAGCTCTCAGAATGCAGATTTAAGCTCAGGTTTCTTTAAGTTATGCAAGGTGAATAATATATTCCTATACCATCCACTAATCAACAACTAAGCAAGGTTATTGAACAAGAATCATTCATGCTAAATCCGATTAAAACTACCCCTTCCAGTATTAATCTTAATCTTGTATCCTAAAATCGATGGCCAGTCAAGAATAGAAATAGGCATTAGCTCACATGAATGAACAGGAATAGTAATTTAATAGCATCTCAGAACCAAATTGTCATTCTTACAATCTTAGTTCCATTACCAAACCTAGCTAAAGTAAATTAGTTCATAACGAGATTTACAAGATTCAAAGCTCCAACATAATCCATAGCTAAATTAGTAGCTAAATAACAAAAGAGAGTTAAGCTAACAGAAGAAGAATGAATTTCAGCTGGATCTTGGATTCCTCTTTGTCCGGCCAAAACGTCCTTCAACCTCCTGCCTTATTCCCTTCTTCTCACATTTTTGAATCTATTTCTGGGGCTGGGTACTCTCTGTATTTCCTCTCTTCCTCAGCTCTCGTACTAAGCTTTTTCCTCTATGGGTAATGCACTGTGTGTTTTCTGGAGAGAGATGCTCTGTCTATTCTCTGTAAAGAAAATACTCTCTGTCTTCTTTTTCTATATTTTAGCCTCATTTCTCTCTCCTCTTCTTTTCCTGGTAGCTGCCCCTTTGTCTTAAGAAAACATTCCCTTCTAGGGCAACACAAAGGCTGAGGTGTCACTTGATGATGTGCACAGTGGACCACAATGACACCTGCTCAGCCACCTCACATGGATTCCTTTTTGTCTGCTTTCTCTAGGTAGTGCGCTGACGTCAGCCATATGCCAGCTGTTCCTAGAATGTTGCCAGAATGCCGCAGCATTTAGTCCAAAAATTTCCTGCAAAGCGCGCACATAGTCTTAGTCAATTTTCTACCTATTTTTAATTCAAAATCAACTTTTACTTCAAGAAGAGCACAAGTACGGAGCTAAGCCATAGTAAGTGTAAACTGTAAAAATCTAAATTAAAACACACAAGAAACTGGAAAAAATCACTCTTGGTCACGCAACTTTTGAGCTATAAAACTATTGGATAACTCTAATTTCTTAGAGTTATCAGAAAATTTGAACTAAAACCGGGTGCAATGAAGAATATGGGATTAAGATGTGTAAAGTAAGTTGAATAGGTGATTAAGGATATGTAGAAACCTAAAACAATGAAAATTCTCAATTTCAGACAAAAAATAAAAACTAGATTTATTGACTCGAAAATTGGAATCCGGTGCTACTTGGGCTGGAAGACCAAGACAGAAACTTAATTTCAAAAAGTGATCAATATTAAGTTGAAGGAAATTTCGTTCCGAACAACTTTTAGGAAAGAATATTTTTCCCAAAAATGACCCTAGATATCAGTTTTAGGCTGATTTCTGAAACATGTCCAATATGTGACTTAAGGCCAAATGTGCACGGGTTTGGCGCACATTGGTGATATAGGAGATGTTTCTGTCTAGATACCGAACATGAAATCGTAGATCTCTTTAAGAATTTTAGACACGACATATGCACTTTAAGAAAATAACATTTACGAAACTACGAATTCGAGTCAAATTGTATTTCAATTACTGATCTTAGATTTAAATCTAACGATCGGGATTTTATATGATAGGATCGGTAGGCGATAAAAACAGTAAAATTTCTAATGACTCGAAAGCCGTGACTTTAGCAGAATTTCTGTAAGTATAGTAGTTTTTCTATGTCTATATCATAAACAAGACAATATCCTTGTGTTGCACAAAATTGTGCATATTGTGAATTCATTGTATGTTATTATGTGTAAGATATTTCCTGAATCTTATATGTTGCTTTGATTGTGCTTATGGACTTGGATTAGCAGTAGAATTTTAATCTGTGAAAAAGACAGTCAAAGTCAAAATCAAAGTTAAAGTCAACAAAAGTCAAACAATTGAATAAAGTTCAATTTCATAGAAAATTAGTAGGAATGCTTAAAGATGTACTAATATGACTTAAATTACTGTCATAATAAAAAAAGATAACAGTAAGACGATACGACTAAAATTACTGTCATAATAAGAAAAAAAAATGACAGTAAGATGAAAAGATTAAAATTGATGTCATAATGTGAGATAATGATAGTGAGATGATGAATAAATAAATATTACAAACGATAAGAAGTTAATAAAATTGTTTATACCGGCCTTTGCAAGGGAGGTTATTAGGAATAAAATCATGGGTGAGTTGATTTTTGGGTAGCTCCCCCACTCCTCATTGGGTATGTGTGGAACGGTACAACATGTAGGGGGCCATAAAAAGTAAAAGATATCATAAATGAAGGACACATCAACAAAAGTTGTAAAGAAGAACGAAATGAAAGAAAAGAAAGCAAAACACGATAAATGAAAAGAAAGAAAGAATAAAATGATATATGCTCTGAATGTTTACGTAATGTGTTAGGGTGCATGACATGAATGCATATATGGGTATGCATTACTGTTTGTATTTGTTGTTTACTGTTGTTACTTGCTAAGCCAAAGCTCATCCCGTTTGTTCGTGTTGTAGGAAGCTCAGGTAAGGCGTCAGCTCCTGAAACCTGTTTGCTGGGTGTGCAGAAAAGGATGAAGTGGTCGGCTGTGGGCAAGGGGGTAATGGATGCACCACGTGTTTTGAAAACGCTACTATATGTATAAAGTAAATAGTTTTTATGGATGTAAAAGTAAGTAAGTTATGTAATGAAAGTGATGTATACGGGATAATGAGGCTATACATAACAACCTCAAGTTACAAGGTATGTTAATGTATCCAAAATACTATCATGTTAATGGCATATGAACGATAATGGCGTGCAAATTATAAGTTAAATATATGACCACATTTAAGGAAAACAATTTCAAAGTTTTAAAAAAAATTTATCTACGGATTATTTAATATTAAGAAGTTGAAAATGTTTTCAGAAAAGTATTTTTAATATTCAAGTTTTACTATGAAATAATAATCAAAGTTTTATCCCGACAAAGTATATTAGTACTTATTTCACTATTGAAGGCTGAAAAAATAGCCTAAAATTTAGGTTTATAGTTTTAAAGAAGTAAAAGTTAAATATAAACGTAGTAATGATGACCAGAAGTAAGAATTGTCACATATAGCAAAACAAGAACAAAAAAGAAAAGTTGGGTCTACAAATTTTTATCACACATTTTCATTAATTTTGTGTTACATACTCGATGGAGTTCTGTACTATAATAGTATTCCTCAATTTTTTATTATATTATATTATATTATAAACCTGAAAATGTATCTTTTTTAAGAAAGTAATAATAAAAACATCTCAGTTAATTTAGCGAAACAAAAATGTTACAATTGATCTATAATTAATATTCTAATAAGCCAATTGCTATAATATTTGATATTCAAAATTTGATAAATAATTTCTTTTGAACCTTATGATTTTATACTTAAAATAATTAAATTTTAAGCTAATCTCACATCCTTTGTTTTCTTTAAATGTGATATGATGAAGATATTTGATTCCAAAAATTGGAGAGAGATTTTAGAAAGAGAGAGAGGGTCAGAGCTTTGGAGTGCAATGCTTGGCCAGAGCTCTAGCGTCGCTTCCAGACATGCCGTCGGGCTTTCGGCCGTGAAGTTTGATCCCTAGACTCACCTGCCATCGTCTTTTCCGTGGTGGTGGCGATGTGTGGAGTGATGCTTTTGTTGGAGCAAATTGGACACACTTTGGAAGTGTGGTGTTGTTCGTTTGGGCGATTTCCATTATGTTCGCCGAATGTGCCAATGCTCCCTTGGCGATTTGTTTTGTGTGGCGGTGAGCTTCTTTTAAAGGTGGTGTTTTTGATTGCCAGCGGGGGCTATGATGTGTGAGTTTTTCTTGCTGTTTGACGTTGTTGTCTCAACCTCGTTGTGTCTCTTTTAAAGTCCTCTGCCTTCTCAAGTGGCTCTTTTGCCCATTCCCTCATAGTCAGAGCCGTTTAACGACAAATGTTGGGGTTGTTTTTGTTTTTTTTTTTTTTTTTTTTTTTTTTTTTTGGGGTTTTTTTTTTTTTTTTTTTTTTTTTTTTTTTTTTTTGTGGTGCGTTTTCCTTATTGTTGGGCAGCATTTTCGAAAGCATTAAATGCGCAATAAATTCAAAAGCTCTCCTGAGCCTAAATTCACCTAAGCCTAAGTTCGCTGGAGCCTAAGTTCGCTGGAGCCTAAGCTCTCTCGAGCCCAAGCTCACCTGAGGCCAATCTCATCTGAAGTCAATATCTCCTGAGCCCAAGCTTGCTGAAGGCCATTCTCTCCCAAGCCCAAGCTCGCCAAAGCCCAGGCTCGCCTGAGCCCAAGTTCTCCTGAGCCGAAAGTTCAAAGGTCGCGTGATGTCATCAAGTGAAGTAACTAACGTTAATTGAAGACATTGAATGATTAAAAATTAATTCTCATTGATTATTTATCAATTTTAACTCACGAAAATGTGAAGCACCTCGTTGTAATTAAGAGAGAATAAACTCTCGAATTAATGAGAGAATTAAACTCCCTCAATCCCAATGTACTATAAATTCCCTCAATTTGAGAAGAAAAGGAACACGTACTCATTTCTAAATACAATTACCTTGTAATTGTCTTCATTTGTTCGTATTACTTTTATAGAGATTAATTGTGTTATTGGAGTGTTCATCCAATTTTCTTAGATTACTCTTTTGTTTAATCTAAATTTCTAGTCTAGAGACATTGGTAAAGTATTTGACGAAATTTTACTCCAACACTTACCGTAATAATCGAGATTTTCACCCTCTATTCTTAGTGTCTATTAGACTGGTGTCTTCGCAGGTTTTGGTGTAGCCTTATTGCTATGATCATATGTCCCTCTATGGCATAGAGGCTTATATTGATTAGGGGGGAGGGGGGAGGGAAGAGGGGGTATGGGGGGTTGTGTTATTAAATATAGTCTTAGGTGTGCTCGATTTTAATGTGCCTTAATGTTCTTTTATTTTCTCGTTTCATGCGTACATCTATCTCTCTTTAAAGTCATTAGTCTTGTATTGTGGTGTTTATTTATCTGTTTTTATTTAAATACAAGTTTTATTTTTTAAAAAAATAAAGGAAATTTTTTAGTATATTTAATAGTAGGTTAAAATTTTTTAATTATTAAATTTATATATTTTTTAATTTTTACATAATTTTATATAAAATTAACAGATAAAAAATTTAATTTATTAATATATTAACGTAACTAAAAATGTCCTAATAAAAAAGCAAGAGTATTTTGTGGGGTCCGTCCCTCCCACAGATTTTTTTCCTTCTTGCTATGATGCGTATAGTAGAGTGATCACGTATATAGCAGCCATAAAGTCTCCTGTGACGGTCCTTGGAATATAATTATTATTGTATAAGAGAAGGTGGGTTCACTGAATGGGACAGAGATATTGAGGTCTCATTTATTTTGTAAATTTAAGTTTTTAATTTAAATTAAAATGTGATATTTTATAAAAAATTTTATTATAATAAAAAAAATTAAATGTGGTATTTTTTAAAAATTTTTTACTGTAAAAATTTAAAATTAAAAATTAAAATCGATAAAATCAACGAAGTCTAAAAATGCCAGCCACATGGCTTCCGAAATACATCAGCCGTCCATAATATAAGGCCTTCGTCATCAGACCCAATACCTGTACTGCCACATGGCATCTTTTCCTTCGCTGAAACTAAGTAGCCCCCGTGTAACTCAATCATGTCCGTCCATCTACTCCCATTCGTCCAATCTTCGTTTGTACTTGAATTTTGTTGGAGACCAACCTGGGACCCATCTTAACAATTCGGAGTTCCTCCTTTTTTTTTTTTTTTTTTCCTGATCTGAAATAGAAACAAGGACTTTAATATTTCTATTTTAATTTTGATAAAGAAAACCAAAAATATTTAACACCTTTAAAGAAAGTTTGAAAGGACAAAAAATTCCTTAAAAAAAATAAGGACAAAAAACAATAATAATTAAAAAAAAAATCTCTGTCTCGCAATATGGGACGTTACTCGTGTCTCTGTTTGTATTAAAAGGTTGAACGGCCATGGTTTTAAATGTTAATAAGAGCACTATAATGTTTATGATCATTATTGGCTCATTAGGGTTCTAAAATTATATAAATATATTTAAAATATATAAGATATAAGATGAGATATATCGTATTGACTAGAAGACCTAAAGTGTCGGAATTTACAATAAATAAACAATTAAATAAGCCCAAAGTCCATCAAATATATATAATATAATATAACAAAAGTAAAAGAGAGGTTAGATACATAAGTTAGACTCTGAGCAAACTCACTAGGAGTGGACTCTAAATATCTTCGTACGCCGAGAAAGTCGGCTTGTAATCGCAGTGGCATTACGGGATTGCGAATTGGGAGGAGTTAGAAACAGGTAGAAGAATCTTCAAATCAAATCCCATAAACCAGGGAAAAAAAAAAACAAAAGAAAAGAAAAGTTTTCAGATTTTTCCCGTGACACCAACCAAAATTTACTTCTTCTTCATCATCACCATCGCTTTTATCACTAATTCTAGGCCAGGCTTCCTTAGTTTACTCGTTCTTTCTGCCCACTTGCTTCTCCAGATCGTGAAAAAGCACTTTTGATCAGGATCTTGGTCTTTTTTTTTCCAAAGTTTTGATCTTTACACGCTCTGGTTTCTTTTTTATTCTTCTTTTTCGTTTGATCCCGTGGAATCCCAGTTATGTTCTGATCTGTGTGAGCATTCCGTTTTAATATTCTCTCTCTTTGTACTTTCTTGAAAGTAGCTTTTACTTTTCTTTTACAAGGCGTTCGTTTGAGATTTTCTGATATATATATATACACACACACACGCACAAGTATATAGTGTAATATAATACAATATAATATATGTTTTTAATATCTCTTTATTATGTGTATTCTCAGTGACTAGAATCTCCAAAAGGCCATCTTGGTATCTAATTTCTGGTTGGTTCAGCCATGGATTCTTACTGTGCGACTTTGAAGCCCAATGGCCAACGCATAAAACTCAACAGAGAAACTCTCAGGAATCGATCTTCTGTATTCTGGGGTGAGAGTATGAAGGCGAGCAGTCTAAAAGGCAGCAGAGATTTGAAAAGCATTAATCTGCAAAAGATTCTAAAGACTAAGCCCGGTGTGGCCTACTCCATTCTCACATCAGATGTGGAAAAAGAGGCTTTGGTAAGTGAATCGAAAATCATAATTTGGATTCTTTTATGTGGGTGTTTTATTTGTTTTTCTTATATTCTTCTGGTTTAATCTGATTCCAGAAGTTTGAGTCACCAACGTTTGAGACTCCAAAAGCAGACCCCAAGAATGTGGTTTCCATTATATTGGGTGGAGGTGCTGGGACTCGTTTGTTTCCTCTTACCAGTAGAAGAGCTAAGCCAGCGGTGAGATGCTGAGTTTATTTATTTATTTATTTATTGATTTTGGAGATTTCTAGTTGGTATGAATTTTATGATTAAAGCATATTAAAACAAGATCAATTTAATTATGTGCAGGTTCCTATTGGAGGATGTTACAGGCTGATTGATATTCCAATGAGTAATTGCATCAACAGTGGCATAAAGAAGATATTTATTATGACTCAGTTTAACTCCTTTTCCCTCAATCGTCACCTTGCTCGGACGTACAATTTTGGGGAAGGAGTTAATTTTGGAGATGGCTTTGTGGAGGTAAGATAAGATAAATTACATTAACAGATCATAATGTTATCTAGTGAATTAAAAAAAAAAAAACATGTTAATAATTTTGGAGATTCTTGGTCTTTTTTTTTTTCTTTTTTTTTTTTTCGAAGACTAATTTAGTTGTTAAATAGGTTTTGGCTGCCACTCAAACTCCGGGAGAAGCAGGGAAGAGATGGTTCCAAGGAACGGCTGATGCTGTGAGACAGTTTATTTGGGTCTTTGAGGTGAGTTATGCTGATTTTATCATGGTTATATTGGTGAATACTAGTTTTGAAATATGACTAATTGAGCTTTTGATATCTGTGCAGGATGCCAAGAACAAGAATGTTGAGAATATTTTGATTTTGTCTGGTGATCATCTTTACCGGATGGACTACATGGATTTTGTGCAGGTATTATGCGATAACTTAGTTCTTTGATACGATTTTGCAATTTTTGACGAATAATTAACTAGTGTCGCATTGTTCTTGCAGAAACATGTTGACACAAATGCTGATATTTCTGTTTCATGCCTGCCCATGGATGACGGGTATTTATTCTTAACAGCTCTATCTCGTGTAGTTAGATAAAAACCTGATATTAGTTAGTGTTCTCGGAGATCAAAATTGATCCTCTGGTTTCTCAAGTTGTTGAGTTTGTATTTCCCGCAGTCGAGCATCAGATTTTGGACTGATGAAAATCGATAGCACCGGACGTGTTATTCAATTTGCCGAAAAACCAAAGGGCCCTGAACTAAAAGCAATGGTTGTTGAATTTATCCCACCCTTTGTTTTGTTTAATCTTTATTTGTTTTTCTCCAACACTTGAGGAGATTCAGTGCTTATATGGTTTTGTCTTTTCACTGCAGCAAGTTGATACCTCTGTTCTTGGGCTTTCTCAACATGATGCCAAGAAATTCCCTTACATTGCATCAATGGGTGTTTATGTCTTTAAAACTGATGTACTGTTGAAGCTACTGAGATGGAGCTATCCTCATTGCAATGACTTTGGTTCCGAGATTATTCCTTCAGCCGTGAGAGAGCACAATGTTCAAGTAAGATGGTTTTTCAGTTAGAAATTTCCTTTCAGTCTTCTTATTACAATATGGAAAGGAATCCGATAAACTAGTTAATATGTTGGTGACTGGTTTAGTTAGTTTCTGACTGCCTTTTACCATTCCAGGCGTATTTGTTCAATGATTACTGGGAGGACATTGGAACCATCAAGTCTTTTTTCGATGCTAACTTGGCCCTGACCGAACAGGTTAGTAACATCATTTATCCAAACTCCTGTATCGCTACTCCGTCAATAAGGAATAACTTAAATAGTATTTACCCTACAAACTTCAGTAAGGCAGTAATTAATTAGAAATGCTTGCGGTTTAAAGAATTGCGTGCAAACTTTTCCGTGCGAATAAAGTTAGCAGCACAAACTGATCACATATTACTTCTGTGCAGCCCCCCAAGTTTGAATTCTATGATCCAAAGACACCTTTCTACACATCTCCCAGATTCTTGCCTCCTACTAAAGTTGAAAAATGCAGGGTAAGATGGTCAAGCTTAAGTCAGTTTTAGATTGAATCATCCGTGAATTTGTAATCTTACGGTTAATCGATTCTTGCAGATTGTTGATGCGATAATTTCCCATGGTTGCTTCTTGCGGGAATGTAGTGTTCAACACTCTATCGTTGGTGTGCGGTCGCGTTTGGAGTATGGTGTAGAACTTCAGGTTATCAACCTTGAACAGATAAATAATAACAATATATGATGAATTGAACATTATTAATCTCCTGTGCTATGGCGTAAAATAATAAACCGTCATATTTAATTTGTGGAATTTTTGTGCAGGATGCAATGATGATGGGAGCTGACTACTACCAAACTGAATCTGAAATTGCATCGCTGCTCGCAGAAGGAAAGGTTCCAATTGGTGTCGGTCAAAATACCAAAATCAGGTAAATTTCACAATCTTTTCATTGTTCTTTATTTTGGTTGATGAAAATCAACTCTCACCAACAATTGCACAAAGGATATAACATATGCTATATACGTTCAACATAATTTCTCAAAAGCATTGCTGATTTGTTTTTTTTTTTTTTTTTTTTTTGTTTTTGCCCTCCTTACATCAACTTTCTTGAAGGAATTGCATAATTGACAAGAATGCCAAGATAGGAAGAGATGTGGTTATCACTAATGCAGATGTAAGTACAGGTTTAGTTACTCTTTATCCCGTCAAATGCTTCTTTATTATTAGTACTTTTTGTAACAAATTTTCTATACAACTTTATAGGGTGTTGAAGAGGCAGACAGATCAAGTAAAGGATTTCACATTAGGTCCGGTATCACAGTCATACTGAAGAACGCAACCATCAAAGATGGAACAGTTATTTAAATCGCTCAAATCTTCTTACGGGTACTTGTTCAGATGGATCAAACCTTGAGGAAAGATGGTCCGCCGATTTAACTTTTCGCACAATAGATCTCTCTCTCTCTCTCTCTCTCTCTCTCTCTCTCTCTCTCTTTTCCTGTCAATTGAACGTTAGTTAATTTCATATATTTGCGGAGTTTTTTTTTTTTTTTGCGTAATTTGAAATAAAGGTGACCTAGTTTAGGATTTTTCATTTGTACTCGAGTTCGGGGACTATTCGAGTTAAGAATTTATGAAGCTTCTTCCTTTCATAAGATTAATAAATCACAAAATTCTGTTTAGTCTCTTGGATGAACAAACTTTTCCTACTGTGATAGTGGAAGGAAAGAAATGAGGGCGGAAAAATTAGCCAATCACTCGTCTTTTGTTTTTCTGTTTGGTTCTCATTTTTGCTTTTGGCGGTCCCTTGATTATCGATTGATGGTAGAAAAAAGAGAGGGAAAATTTGTGGCATCACATTCACTTGTAGTTGGGGCCTGGCCTACCATTTTCGTTCTTTCCAAACAGAAGGAATTCGGAGAAATAAAGAATAACGAGTAGTCACTAGTCACATACTTGTCCATTAGTAACAAGAAGCTTTGCTTTTGAGATTTCAAGTTCAGATTTCTTCGCTAAAAAAAATTTGTTGTTAGGTCGCATCTATTAAAATAACTCAAATTTCAACCGTCTAAATTTATAGTCAGTCTTTAAGTCCGGTAATAATATCGTTTTACATTTGTCCAAAAAACAAACAAGTCAATCCAAACCCAGAATGCTATTTTTTGACAGGTTTAAAACTCTCAACCCAAACCCAGCTAACCATTTTTGGCAAAATTCGTGTTTTTCTTTTCTACATTGTCGGCCCTCATGCTCAATATTTAGGGTTTTCATCTCCAGAAAAAAGCCCTGCTTATCTTCCTCTCTCTCCCTCTCCCCTCTTCTCCTTTTCTTTTCTTTTTTTCTTCTGTAAGCTCTTATCTTCATCTTACTTGCAAATACCTAAGACTGATTGATATATATATATATATATATATATAGTACAATAACCATCTTTTTTCAAAAAAAAAAAAAAAAAAAAAAAAATTTGGGG